GCTCCTCTCTTAGCAACGGTCGTGCTTGAACCTAAAGGTTCTTCCATAGGAAACCACCGATCATACCACAACAGATGATAAAACCACTGAACCCTGACTAAAGATCTTCCAAGCAATACCCCCAAATTTATCCCGATAAAGACCCGGATCAACAACTGAACACGCCGAAACCCGCTCAACAAGATATGGCCCCCCCCTAAAGAATTATTGAAGACTCTCGGCATGCAGAATGTCTAGTTCCTCATGGGCTTTGTTTAGAAGTTTATTGGATTAGTGGATTAGTTGTCAATGCATTCTCGATCATTGGTTATTTCGCCCATTGTAAATAGTTGAGGTTCTTCGATGGTTTCAAGATGTATTAGTTGAAGTTCAATGGATGCGTCAACCCATTGCCCAGTTCTGTACCTTGTATATTCTGTTTTCTAGGTACGGGTACCCTTAATTGTTGATTATGGGGGTATTGTTCATAGCGGGCTCGGGGTCAGCAACTGTCCTTGCTTATTGGGAGTTTGGGTGTCGGGGCGGTGTCATTAGTTTTTCAGGTGTAACTCTAGATCAACTTAGAATCCAATTCTGTGGAATGTCAGGGTTGATAGTTGGATCGCTCCGACCCATGTTTTGATAACAAATCTAGATAATTTTGGAAGTTTTATTGAGCTAGTTATGTAATAGTGAGCTATGTTCAATTTCAATCGAGGTGTGGGATCTTGTTTTGATCGTTCATGTGGATGTTTCTGTTAATGATTGAGTTTCGTCATTTCGTTAGATCTGTTGGTACCTCACCTTTTGGGTAAGTTTGTGAGGAAGAAGGAATGCAATAGATCCAAGGTTGGTTATGTGTCTCCCCTTGGGGTGTACATTATGGTAGTACCTCAATTATGGTCACGAGGTAATGTATGTGGACTGAGTGTGATGGTATGAGAGCACTGGATTCAGATTATCGACATGGTTCTTTTTGGTTTATATCTTTTGAATTGGAACAAGAGTACGACCGCATATCTCATTCTCTGGTTGTACGCGACCATGTTTTCATCTAACAACTTGTACTGTGAAAGGAATTGGGTGTGATAAAGGGCATGGCCTGTGTTGTATTTGTTTAGCATTTTGAGGATGCTGATTGGGTTCTTGAAAGTCGATGAATTGGAGGTTAAGTATCTTTAGGCCCCTATGGTGCTGATTGTGAGTCTTCAAGACAGTGATGGAATAGCAGCGAGGTCGACATAGTACCATGAGATTATTATTCTAACGGCTATAGGGTGCCATGATGTATAGTGGACCACTGGATGTATGATTTATATGGGTGAAACCCAATATTCATTTGATTGAGACTCTTAGGTCTCAGATCGTTAGTCATGTTGGCATGTTTGGATGTTAGTGCATTGGTAGGAGTCGGGAGACTCAGTGACTAGCGGGTTAGGATCATGTAGGAAGTACAAGGTTAATGGGAGTATTATTTGTGCATCAAAAGCCTCTTTCTGAATTATTTACATTATAAACCCCCTTTTCTTGTGGGTTGTTTATTAGGAGTTTGGTTATTAGTTTTGGGTATCGGTTCTGAAATCTTGAATCATGGAGTTCGTTGTAAATGTATCGAGTAATTTTTCAAGTGGATGTACACTTGAGCTAATGAGGGATTTGGATGCAACATGAGAATTCTTGGATTGACCATCATTATGCTCATGGGAGTAGCGGGTTGGCGATGACTTGGTAAGAAGTCGAGTGTATATTTAAGGCCTTTGGGCATGATTTTTGGATTCAAGGTTGGTTGAGATTTGTGATCGGTATGTTTTGAGTATCCTTTCTGCATGGTTAAGTGGTATTCCTAGTTGGGGTTAGGGGTAGGTACGACGAATGAATGATCAGCAGTCATAGGGTATGTTTCTGGAAGTTGTGTTTTCATCTAGGAAGAGAAGGTAGTTGTTATGGTTGGGTATTTTCAAGTTATTGGGTTGTTTGTTGGCAATTATGGGATACTAAGTGGTCTCTCGTGTCATCTTTAAAAGATTCCTTGATTTTGAAGTGTTTAAAGGAGGCTTAAGGGATATGTTAGTGTTCTTTTCATAGATTCTAACAAAGATGGATTTCGAGGATGAAATCCAGTTTAAGTGGGGGGGGGGGGAGTTATAACATCTCATTTCTAGAAGTTTCTTATTTCATGATTTTGGACAATAAATAGACCAAGTAAAGGCCTTGAGCTTCAATAGAATAAGGTTTAGAACCTATTAGATGTTGATAATATTGGTTATGTGATCTAAGCCTTGGTTTTGTATTTTATAGTCAAAAAAGAAAGTGGGGAAAAGTGATGTTTCAAGCTTCCTTTATGGATTATGGTTTTTAGTTTGGCATGTGTTAAGCCGAAATTAACTAGATAAAAGTTCGTGGTTCGTTCATACCTTTTCATGGATATAAAGATCGCCGAAAACGGATTTGAAACAAAGAAGTTATGATTGCTTGAAGCTGGAAAGGATTTGGGCGAAAACTGTCACAACAAAGTGGTGTGATGGGACCACTAGGCGGTGGTCACCACTGCATGGTGAGTCGGACCACTAGGTGGTGGTCACCACAGAGTGGTGAGATGGGATCACGAGGTGGTGATCCGATAGGCCCAAGCCCATGATTTTATGGTTTTCAAGGTTTTAAGCTTAATGTTCTACATTTTGTGCATTTTATCAGCCTCCATCACCTCTAAGACCCATTAGGAGAAACCCTAGACTCCACCTTCAACATTTGAGCCCTTACTCTCTCAGTTCTCCTTTTTGGATGCTTTTTATGATATTTTAATGAAGCATAAAGATTAAGGAAGTTCTTTTTATGATATTTTAATGAAGCATAAAGATTAAGGAAGTTCTTTTGGTTGCAAGGAATGATACTTCAAGCTTGGATCCATCAAAGGCACAACATTTATGGATTATTGTAAGTATAAAGTTCCAATCTCGCTCTTTATTTCTTTATATCTCTTCATATGTGGTTTTTGGCACTTTTGGTCCATTTTATGAATGATCTTGGATTTGAGTGGACTTCAACACCTTTTGATTAGTTTGAAGTGTTTCTTGGACCTCATGGACTAGGAAAGTTATGATCTTCTGCCTTCCCTTTTATCCATGCAAGTTATCTTGGTCCTTTAGGTCATTTTGATGCAATAAAGTTTGGATATTGGAGGATTGTGGCATTATTATGGATAAAGTTGGAAACTTTATCCATCTAGACATCTTGTTGATTCAGATCTGAAAGTGGGAGACCTAGACTTAATGGATTAAGTTGAGAAATATGCATTTTTGGGTTCCTTTAAGACTTAAAGTCTAGATCTTGGTGGTTTGTACCATCTTAATGGATAAAGTTATAACTTTATCCATTATGAAGCCATTATAAATCAAATATGATGTTTTAGCTTCGAACATTATGAATTAAGCTCTTTTTGAAGAAAAGCCTTTCAGGCTGAGAACCACGGTGTGACCAAGGAAGGCCACAACGTGGTGGTGGGACTTATTCCGTTTGTTTTGTTTGGACGTTCCCACGGCATGGTCATGGTGACATGTCTGCCACAACGTGATAACATATTTGGATCGGGACTGGATTGAGTGGCCATGGGTTGGCCACGACCTGGGTGTCACCTGGATTGGCGGTGACCGCTAACTTTTTAACCAGTTTCCTTTTGGTCAACCTTAGGTAGCATGGAGTATTTAACTAAGGTCTGGTATTGGTTTGGCTTTAGGAAGCTTGGGTTGGCTGATATGTTGCTGAGGTAGTTGTGAGCTTCTATTGAGTAGTTCATGTGAGTGTCCTTCACTATACTCGTAGGTCGAAGGCACCAATGTCGGCCCACTGAATTATGTATAGAGACTGGTAGTTATCTTTGTGAGAATGTCCTGTTATGCCTGCATGTGCTTGTTGTCTTTGTGACTCTTGCTGATTTGATTGTATGCTTAGCTGTAGTTGTAAAATAGACCCGATATCAGTTGAAAGATACCGAAGGGGGTGAAACAGACCCGATACTGGTTGAAATATACCGAAGGGAGTTAAATAGACCTAATATCGGTTGGAAGATAACGAGGGGGGGTGAAATAGACCTAATATCGGTTGAAAAATATCAAAGGGGTGAAATAGACCCAATACCGGTTGAAAGATATCGAAAGGGGGTGAAATAGACCCAATATCGGTTGAAAGATATCGAAGGGGGTGAAATAGACCCAATTATGTTTTGACTGTTATGTATGTATGGTATGTGGTATTTTAGAGGAGCTCACTAAGTTTTGTGCTTACGATTTTTAGTTTATGTTTCAGGTATGTTCTTCCATGTTTTTTGTATTATGTGATTTTGGGATTTTGTACTCTGATGTTATTTCACTATGATACACTTTCAGTTGTTTTGACATGATCATTGGATGTTTTGAAATGAATTTAAAATGAATTTTTGTCTGAAGTTTTTGGGGTGTTACATAGGGTTCTTTAAAGTTTCATAGTTTGTTGCTATTAATTGTAAAAACATAGATCCTTAGGTTACATGTACCCTTAAGTTTAAAGAGAATTTTCGCAAGTACATAGATTTTCATAGCCTATAAAACCCTTCAATCCCCCAAACATTGTTTCCTTCTGTCCTTCGATCATCAATGGAGAAGGGGGGATGGTGGATCTTGTTATTGATTTCTCATATTTGTCTTAATCACAAAAATTAAAGCCCATAAAATCAAGACCAAATCATCAACCTTATGCCTTAAACAACTCAATAATAAATCATCATAAACCTTCCATCTAAAAACACACACTCAAATACAAATTGTATCAAACCGTCAGAAAATTTATGTTTAACCGAAAAAGATGATTGAAAATTAATGTTTGGTAAAAAAAAAAAAAACACCTATATTAACATGTCATCATGGTATTTTATGACATTGTAATAAATTAATGGTAATATTAAAAAAATACATAAATACTGAAAAAGTTTATTACGTTATAAATCTTTAACCGGATGTAAACATTACAATTTATATTAGCCCCAGTATGAAAATGATAGTAAAAACATTGCAATTTATTTACAAATTTCTTTTTATACGATATTATATTTGATATCTTATTACATTAGATTCAATCCATCTAACCCGCTGGAAGTGTCGTCGTCGGTTAAAGGGCAGGGGAGAAGGGAGAGCAGGCAAACACGAAAGATGCATTCCTTCGGTTACAGAGCCAATGCTCTCCTAACTTTTTCTCTCACGATTCTGGCTCTCATGTGCGCCATGGCATCTCTTTCGGACAATCTCAACTCTCCTTCCCCCACTGCAAGTGTTAAGGTCTCTCTAAAAACCCTAATTACTTGATATTCTGATTTAATTTTGTTTCTTATGACTACCAACTTTGACTAATTACATTTCTATGATTTGTGCTTCACAGGTCTTGAATATCAATCGGTTTCAGAAGAAATCAACTGGGGATGACGAGGTAGTTCATTATTCATCTTTTTTATTCGACGAAAGGTAGTTGATTTGGAATAGTGAAGTGATCCAAATCCGATTCTAGGGCTTTTATTTGACGATATTAATAGAATTCAATGGTTGAATTTGATCTATTGACATTCCGATGACTTCTGTTATGCAAAGCTACGATCTTTAATAGTGAATGATTTGGGAAGATTGAGGTTAATTCATGCTTTATCTTGTGAAATTAGGAACATATCCATAATCGAATGTATTTGTTCGACTTGGAGATATGAAAAACACTTTAAGTTAACTCATGGAAGTTCAAGCCTACTTACCATTGATTATAGCTTGATGGAAAATCCATATGAAGTTCTAAAATATGAGCAAAGTAGATCTGGTGTTTTATGATGTGTGGATTGATCGAAATTTAACTCTGTTGTTAGATTTTGATGATAAAGTAATGTAAGATCAATGACCAGAAGCTCTGTTATGATTTCCATTGAAACTCTGTTATGATTTTCCATGTTCTCTTCATTGCTGCTTACTTTTCACTAGTTGTATGGTGTTTGCATAATTAATCATAACAAACTGGGGATTATTGAAATCAGTATATACCAATTTGAAAAATTAATCTACTCATTCTTATTTTCATCTTCCATTTGTGATGCAGGTTGGGATTACACTAGATATATCTGCAGACCTACAGTCATTGTTTACATGGAACACAAAGCAAGTTTTTGTATTTCTAGCTGCTGAATACAGTACTCCAAAGAACATCCTTAATCAGGTAAAATTTAAACACAATCATATGCATCTTCTTCCACTTAACTTAAACTTACTTAATAAAAGCATTCATCTTTGAATTTACTATTATGCCCCCACAGGTTTCATTGTGGGATGGTATCATACCAGCACAAGATGGTGCAAAATTTTCTATAAAAACCAAGAACAAGTACAGGTTCATTGATCAGGTAAATCTACTTTTTTTTTTTTCAATGTAGTTCACATATCTTTAAATTTATTTGTTTTTGTTACATATATAGGGAAGCAATCTTCGTGGGAGAGATTTTAACTTGACATTACACTGGCATGTGATGCCCAAAACTGGGAAGATGTTTGCTGACAAATTAGTCCTGCCCGGATTTCGCCTGCCCGAGTCATACAGATGACCAGATTTGATAATTCATAATTGCTGTTTTTTCTTGGTTTAAATGAGAACTAGAGATAATTTTCTGTTTTCATATTTGTTAGATTTGAAATTATAGTTTGGTTTAAACTTTAAACTTAGATGTTTCAATACTGTTTTATCTTTTGGTTTTTATTGTTTGTTGCTTGAAAGTTGAAAGCTAGTTTGAGAATTAACCATGGAGAGAGAGGGCTGAGGGCATCAACTATTTTGTTTTCAACCCCTTTTTTTTTATAAAAGATTTCACATTCATATCCATCACCTTATGTTAAAAAGGGGGTGATGTTCTATTTTCTATCAAGTCTATAAATCAAGGTTTATATGTCAATTGTCATACATCGACATGAAGGATAGCCAACAACTTCTTTTTCATATGATGGAAGAGATAATGGTGGTAATGCTTTTCTGATGAAGACAACTGGATGACCATTTTGCACCAATCAACATTGCTCTGATGCACAGGTGCCTATTACGAAAGGAGGGTTAAAATAAGAGGTAGTAAAGGGTTGACCCGAGTTGGTTTGGGTTCAACCAATTTGATTTAGTTGGTGTTTGTTTTTTGGCAAAAGGTTTTTTTTGACTTCTTATGTTGTGGGCAGAAAGACATTTGAGGAAAAGACTATTTGTTTTTTAAAAGAGAGAAGACAAAAAAATAATTTTGACCACTCTTTTCCAAAAGATTTAAGGAAAAAAAAAAAAAACTTTGATTTTAGAGAACGATTTTTGTAAATGTGATATTTCTTTTTCCACCACTATCCCACCACCATTGTCGCCATCACCAACCAAACACCACTGTCTTTTTTATGAACACTTAAAAAACAATCATTTTAAAAAACAATCATTTTATGAAGACTAAAGAGATGAAAAAAATTGGTCTGCATTTTGTTCTGCACATATGCAAAATTAAAATAAATAAATAAAAGTGCAAAAAAAAAAAAGCGCACACACCATGTTGCTAAACAAATTGAATACCTCAATTCAATATAGCCCGATTAATTGCATGGGTTGAGATTACAATCCAACATAAGTTAAAATTGGTTTTATGTTTGTGTTGACTTTTTTAGGTTAAGTTCACAATTAGACACTAAATTTGTGTTTATTTAGTTATTAAACTTTGTTTTTGTTTATGTTGTAAATTGTTATTGAATTTTTTTTTTTAATCTACCATTTATAACACCACTCAATAAGGACAATTTTGAATAAAAAACAAGTTCAGTAATCTTGTACAAATTAAACAAAATTTAGTCATTATAGTGTTTAAATTTGACATTTTTTCCCAAACTGTTGAATTCAGATTGACTTAAAATGTAAATAAAATAAGCTAGGGAAAATATTATTGAAGCCCAACCAACTATCTGGTTTTGTTTTAAATGTTCCTTTATGTTTTTTTTCTTGCATTTAAAGGGCATAAAATTCATATTAACATGTTTATTGAGGACCTAAGACCTCTTCTAACCGGTTACTATGTAGAATCAAATGCCACACATAAATTACCATTCAACCGTCCCCATCCTTGAATAAAACAAGTTCTCCTTTATTTGTGATTTTTTTCTCATCTGAATCATAACCTATCTATTCAATACTTTGATTTCTCCATCTCATTGATTCAAGAAATATTTGTGATGTATCACATTCTCATCTGATTCCATCATATGTATTTATTCACGATTTAGATGTCTTCAATACATGTCTGTGAAATTCAAACTCCACCACCAACCATCTCCTACTACTGGTTCTCCACCATCGTCCGCCTACCATCGATCATCATCATCATTCACTTACATGGGATTTAAAAAATGGTTTAAAGCACAACACAATAACTCTTACAGGAGGAGGGATGTACACAAGAGAAGAGGTTGAAGGGAAGAGGTATAAGAACCATCGATTGCAAATTTGAAGCAATGAACATGGATCAGACACCTATTAGACATCACGATCTGTCATCTTCAGATCCAATATTTTTCCAAATTTCCAGATTTAGGTTGTGACGGAGCTGAGGAAATTCAGGGGTTCTAGGAAGAGTCATCATCTTTAAACATCGTGAAACTGATAGGTCAAAATTGAAGAGGTTAACTCGATCTTTTGTATCAATTTTAGGGCTTTTAAAATGTTTTCTTCACATATCAATTTGAGAACCCTGCAAACTACACAGTTCGACTCATTATGAAGGAACTAGGTCTGAGATATGGGATGAGACAAGAGGCAAATTACATGCTTTTATTGCAACTGCAGGGACATGTGGCACTATGGCTGGTGTTTCTTGATTTTTAAAGGAAAATGATCCAGGGATAAAGTGTTATCTTGTGGATCCTCTTGGTTCTAGCTTGTTTAACAATGTGACAAGAGTAGTGATGTACACAAGAGAAGATGCTAAAGGGAAGAGGTTAAAGAACCCATTTGATACGGTCACTGAAGGAATAGGGATCAACACATTCACGGAAAATTTCAAAATGACTCAACTTGACGGAGAGTTCTAATATTTTTGTTCCTTTTGTTAGATTCCTTCTAAGGCTAAAGGAAGTGGTAACACTCCTAACATCTCGCCACATCAGTTTTTTTTAGTGTCACTTCATTTTTCTCCATTTAGCACCTACTATTAGAGCATTTGGTAGGGAGTGGTAACATTCATTAAAAAAAAAAGTTTTTTGTTTTTTATTTACATAAAAGTGCAAATTGAATTCCACTCAAATAAGTTTCCACCAATCATATTGCATAAATATTTCTCTCTCATCTCGCCACATGTTTAACAAGGGTACGATAGCAAGCCCCCTAGCGAGTGCTAGGGGGTGGTGTTCCAACAATAATAGCGAGCATAGCGAGGGTGTTAACACCCCCTACTCATCTTAGTCTAAGGAATGATGGACAATTTATTTGAAGTTCTTCAATAATGAAATGTGTTGGTTGTATATCGTATGTTGCTGGTGGTGGTATTATTCGTGATGCTGAGAGTACAACCTACTACTGCTAGTGTCACTATGACTTTTATTTGGTTTGAAACACAACCTTCACATACATAATCAGATAGCTACAGTAGCTATTAAAAGTCAATGAACACGTAAGCAAAGAGTATATGGCATAATTAGACTATATGTGGAACATAAACCGGATAAAAAAAAGGTTAAAGTGCCCAAATTGGCTGGTAATTATCAAGTTCATGTACTTATAATGCAAACATTTAGATGAAGGACCTTTTAAACCAAATCATGTTAGTTTACAGGGTTATAGTGACATTTACCCAGTAAGTTACAAACTCGAATACTTTTTAATAGTTTGAAAAAATACAATCACATGTAGGAGTGCTCATGTTCCGTTTTTTTTTTTTTTTTGGAATTTTTTCAGTAAAACCTAAGCCAAACCGTTAGTAACATTTTTTGTTAATCTAAAACCGAAGCCGAAACTTTGAAAATTAGAACATAATCAAGCCGAATCGTTACTAATGGTTTGACTTCGGTTTTGTTTCACTGTTTGAGATTATTAGGCTCATTTGAGTCGAACCCATTACACTAATTTTGTCAAAAAAAAAATAATAATAATAATCAAATCTGCCAAATATTGTTTAATACAGACATAGACAACTATTGTGAGGACGTGTGGATAATGCTATTTTATGAAAATTACTAAGAGAGTAGGTTGTTTAGTAATTTGACTACATTCAATCTTATACAACTATCGTTATTTTCATGCATTCTCACTAATTCTTATTCATTTTTGTTCCTACACATCGTTTTTCCCACATTTTCATTCTTATAGAATACGACATAATAAATATTTTGACAACATTCTGATAGAATAAGAATAATAATAAAAAGTTTATAATAACCTGATAGACGATTTAATTAGTGAGAATCTGTGAGAATAACAATAATTATGTAAGATTGAACGTATTTATATTATTAAACAACATATTTTTTGTATCATCCTCACAGAATAGCACTGTCCGCACATCCGCACAATAAATGTTAATCCACATTTGAACCTAGCTCTTTCTCTTTCTCTCTCTCTCTCTCTTTATATATATATATATATATATATATATATATATATATATATATATATACTCTAATAAATGAAGGTTTTTTTGTCACATGTCACACTCTCATTCAATTTGCCAAATGTTATTTTGTGGTTATTTTGAATTAATATATTTTCCACGTGTCATAATATTAGTAAGTAGAAATATTTGTAAGCATAAAAAGTAGGAGACAATTTAATTTCTCAATACTTTAATATAATAATTACAATAAATATAGTAATAAATAAATATCAATTTCATTAATGGATTTACCTTCTTATTTCAAAATTCTCAAGTTAAGGATCATTAGTTTATTTTCTTTATTTATTTTAATTTAAAAGATAAAAAAAAAAATCAATTTTAATAATTCATTATTTTTCTTATTTTCTTATAAATCCAAAGCTCTTAAATATTTAGTCATTTTTATTTATTTATTTTTTAATTATCCCATGTAATACATAGGTCTTATACCTAGTGTTTATATATATATATATATATATATATATATATATATATATATATATATATATATATATATATATATATATATATATATAAAAGAGAGAGTATTGTTTTGGGTTGTTCTATAAGGCTATCCGCATTCATAACCCAATCCTCTATTAAAAAATCAATTTTTCTCTTTTCCACATCAACAATCCAATTAAACCCCAACCTTTTACTCAAGATAGCAATTCAATTCAATCCAGTTTTATATTAAAAAAATATAGAAAAAAATATCAATATTAGTATCATATTGTAGAGAAAATTTAATCTCGTATTTTTGTATATTTTATTTATTTATTTATTTCAATAAAAATTGTTATTAACAAAATTAGATTTAATTATAAAAGTTAATTTAACTCTAGTAATAAGTGATAGCCACGTAGTGGATTAGTTAATAGGATAATGACTTAGGAGGGTAATAAGTTTTCCAATTTGTCCGTATCAAGTCACTAAGTTTTTTTTTGTACGTATTAAACCAACATGGTTGTTATTACCATTTAGAAATAGTCCTTTTACCGGTTTTAACCGGTAAAAATGACTATTTCTAAACGGTAATAACAACCATATTGGTCTAATACGCAAAAAAAACCTTAGTGATCTAATACGGACAAATTGGAAACCTTATTACCCTCCTAAGTCATTAACCCTAATTTTAAGACATTGAGAATATATGACCATCAACAGTAAACTACTTCGTTTAGAACTCGCGTCGTCCCATATAATTTGCTACTCCTCTATATAGAGAAGTTCTTCATCTACAGTCGTCCCTTTGGGGACATTCGATAAAATTGGAACGATACAGAGAAGATTAGCATGGCCCATGCGCAAGGATGAAACACACAAATCGAGAAATCGTCCAAAAAAATTTTTAACCCTTCGTCGTCTTCTCTAGAACCCTAATTCTCTTTTCAAATGCTAATAGAGTTCAATTGCAATTCTTACGTTTCAGTAGTTCATCTACTGAAAGTCATGATCAGACAACATGTGGATTCTATGGTCAGATTGATCTTCTTCACTACAAGAAAAAGTCGATATAGCCATGGAAAAATTCCGTAGCTAAAACATGATATTCCATAGTTAAACATGATTAGCGACGGAATTTGCTACAGAGCAATTGCGTAGTTAAATTCTTCGTTAGTAAACTTTCGTTATGGAATCCGTAGCACCTTTGCAACGAAAGTTGCAGCGGACTTATTCCGTAGTAAAATAGTTACAGACTACATCCGTAGAAACATGGTAAGAAATTAACTACAATTTTATCTGTAGCAAGTCCATAGCGAATTAACTACGCTCCGATCCATAGTAAATCTGTCGCAAGTTAACTATAAACTAACTTCGTAGCTAGTTTCCGTAGCAAAAATTCACTATGGTTAATGGCGTAGCTAATACCCCTTAGTAAATTTAGTACGACCTAATTCCATAGCAAATATTTTGCAGTAAATGCACTACGCTCTACTTCCATAGCAAATATATTGTAGTAACTTTACTACAACACACCTCTCTTAGAAATGTTTTATAGTAAATTTACAACAGTTTACCTCCATTGCAAACTAAATGTGACGAAATATATTCTGTAACAAAATCCATAACAACCCCATAAAAAGATACACAGAAACTCCGTAAAAATAACAATAGAAAATATTTATGACATGATTAATTCTATATCAAAATGCATACAAAATGACTAAAAAAAATTCCGAAGCAAATTTATAATAAAATCAACATTACGAAATTCCAATAAGAAATAATAAAAATTACATAAGTTCTTAATAAAAAGAAATAGTTTATCATCGAATGAAATACTACCTTGTCCAAAACACTAATAAAACTAGTCTAGTGGCCAAACTCAACTAGAAATCCTAAATATGCAATAAAAAAAATTTGTCACTGGTTACTTGTGCTTCTTATATCATTTATCATGTTTCTCACATCATTCAAGTCCGTCCTTTGTTGCTCTATGGTTTCCTCTAGTTTCTGAATCTTGGTCTGAAGATGATGTTTTTCAGAAGTTGTATCCGGTGAAGTGAATGTTTGAGAAGAATTTTCAGGCAAAATGGACCTGCCATATGATATGATCCAAGCCCATAAATTATTCTCTTACAGTCATGTCCTCCGAAAACTGTATAAAATAGTTCATTTTCATCAACTTCCTCTCCCAGCAGTGCCAAATCCGCACGTCGTGACACAAACAAATCCTACAATGTTATTGTTGCATTAATATAGTAAGATTTTTTAAGTCCTGATTATCAAACAAATTAAAATTAAGCTTACATGAACTTCTTTAGCTTTGTCAACTTGAAACGTCTTTCCATCATTGATCCTTGAATACATCATAACATGATGGAGCTTGTCCCGTATATTCCTCCTACGTTAATACAATACGTATGCCAAATCTCACCACAATGGGGTGACAACTTGCACACTGTTACCAAAAAGGAGCTAACTGATATTACAACCTCTGTCAAGCGTATAAGATGATAGAAAAAAGGAAGGGGCAAGATCGATCTATATTGTTATTAAGAAATACAGGTGTACCCATAAAAAAACATATGTAAGGAATCATATAAGATGATCTAGGGAAAAACAAAACAGAAGAAAAACGATGTTATAATTCGTTATGGTCTTTTTTAACATTTGAAAGTCGATGGTTGATATTGTTTTTAAAAAAAAAAACATCTGGTTGTAAATAAAGATCTAAACGCTGATTTTGGTCTATTGCTTACTTTTGTTTTTGATAGCTAAAGAAGATGATCAGTGAAGAATATAAAAGCGGAAAAAAAAACATACTTGCTATCACAAGGCCTGGAAGCACCGAACAGTTGAAGCAGAGGCACACAACAAAGGATGTATAGATGAATAGTGAAATTCTTCTTTGCGTGGGCAAGTTATGCCTAAGTAATGGGGGAGCGGTTTTGAAGGGAGTGGATATAGGGAATTCTGTTTTCCCGGGAGTGGGATACG